GATTTCCAACTTACTTCCTGTTTTGTCCAGGGGATAGGAAGTGAAGGGAAGTCTCACTCAGGCCCGGTGCAGACCTACAGGCAGCGATTGCCGTGCAGCCCCATGGATTTCAATGGGGTGACATCCGCGCGGCAATTGCAGAAAAAAAGGTATAAGTACCTTTTTTCAAGGGCCTTTTCCCCACAACTCTGGCCCGGTGGTTGTGGGGGGTCTATGGGCTTACCTAAATATGGGTGCCCCCTTTCATAATTGCTCTGGGAGATGTCCTCTAACTTCCCATTGTCTGACACAGGAGGTGAACGGAAATGTCCCCAATGGTATCAGCAAAAAAATAAACTGGCAGGGGTTTTAACCTTTATAAGTAACTAAAGAAAAAAGGTTTTTGAGTCATTCCCTAAACAAGTGGTGAGGGGGTGTCCTGTCCTGGTGGCAATTGTCAAAAAAGGACATTCTTATTGCTTTGTAGAGATTTCCACTCACTTCCTGTTATGTCACTGGGACAGGAAGTAAAGAGAAATCTCCCCAAAAATGGGACACAGACAGCAAAAAATAAACTGACATTTTTTTAAACTCTTCTGTATTCTATTCAAAAAAAAAAAAAAAAGATGGCGGCTTTAGAGAGCTTTGGTTTTCATGCAAGGCCTACTACGGCTTCAGAATGCAGAGAACAGAAATGAGATGTGAAGGACAGGACGGGAGGCAGAAGGGCCACATGGTTGCTGCCTCCCCCATCCCTGGAGAGGCAGCCACTCTTTTTTTTTTTGAATGGGGTCCCCCCCTTTAAATCTATACAATTCCTGAAGGGTCCAGTTACTCTTTTGTTTTTGCATGGAGTCCCCCTTACAATCCATGCCATTCCTGAAGGGTCCAATTACTCTTTTGTTTTTGCATGGAGTCCCCCTTACAATCCATGCCATTCCTGAAGGGTCCAATTACTCTTTTGTTTTTGCATGGAGTCCCCCTTACAATCCATGCCATTCCTGAAGGGTCCAATTACTCTTTTGTTTTTGCATGGGGTCCCCCCTTAAAATCTATACCATTCCTGAAGGGTCCAATTACTCTTTTGTTTTTACATGGGGTCCCCCCTTAAAATCTATACCATTCCTGAAGGGTCCAATTACTCTTTTGTTTTTGCATGGAGTCACCCTTACAATCCATGCCATTCCTGAAGGGTCCAATTACTCTTTTGTTTTTGCATGGGGTCCCCCCTTAAAATCTATACCATTCCTGAAGGGTCCAATTACTCTTTTGTTTTTGCATGGGGTTCCCCCTTAAAATCCATAGCATTCCTGAAGGGTCCAATTACTTGTTTCTTTGCATGGGGTCCCCCTTAAAATCTATACCATTCCTGAAGGGTCCAATGACATTGAAAGTTGTGGGCTCCACAACTTTTACACCTCGCATCCTGTTCTTGGACAATCAACATCGGCCTTGACTCATTCCACGGTGACAAGATGAAGGTGTCTGTGCTAACCGTGTGGATAAAATTGTTGGGGCGTGTTCCTGAAACTCATCAGACCTGAAGAACAGGCTTGGAGAAGCTTTGAAACATCTTAAACATTTCAGAACAAGTCCAGTTAAATGTAAGTAACTCCTGCTGGATATACCATGACCTGGATGAAGGTGAACCTTCACAGACACTAGCCCTGAAAGGCACACTATGTGTACAGGATGACACGTGGGGCGCCCCCTGCCCATACCTCCCACCAGCTCCAGCTAGTAATAATTCCCATTGAGACCCTGTGATTACATCTCCATAAGGAACCAAGGCAGGAAGAAGGTATTTTTCCATCATGAAATGGGGTCAGATATAGAGCTTTAGTTTTGTCTCTATGATCTCTAAAGGATAAGTTCACCCTTTCTCAAAGCGGTCATTGGTCAGCACGGCGACGTTACTCAATGGACCAATGTGAATCTCTTCTCTCTTCCGGGACAGCGATGAAGTTTCATTTCATCTGAACAGTAGCATCAACCAGCGCCATGCATGTCACCGGTCTGAAGACAACCCAAACTTGATGCCATTTCAAAATGGTCCATGATTTAAAGTGTGGGGGCGGGGATATTTGGGGACAGATTCATTGGACCATACCTTTTGACATAATGTAACAGGAGAAGCTTACAATGCATGTTACCATCTTCATTCATCTTCCAATCGGATGACGTTCCTTGGTTAGAACACCATAAAACGTGGTACCATCCAGACGGTGCCCCACCACCGGCTCTGAGAAGTTCTTCAAATGGAACTTTTCCAGACAGGTGGAATCGGAATGGGGGGGGGGTCCAGTCCAATGACCTCCTTGGCCTCCAGACCTGACGCCACTGGACTTTTTTTTTCTTTAAGCAGGGGTTATGTGAAGTCAGCCTCTCGGAATCGGCCCAGGACAATCGTTGGTGGAGGAAGTCATCTCTGTGTGTAACAGCATCAGTTCTACCACATTAAAAAGTGTCCAGTGCCCAGTGCCCTTGTATCCTGCATACACCCACTTACACTTTAACATGGTGGCCGCTTAGCACCATTCCACATTGCAGCGGCTGTCAAGCTTACCATTGCGTCGTGACAATTTTAACTCAACGGCCTGCAATACATGTCCATTGAAGTCAATAGGACCAAGCCGTTACGGGTTGGCACGCAGTTCCATCGCAGTATTTCAATGTAAAGTTCCCCTACATAGACATTCAGGGGCTGGCAGAATCACCTCATGAATGCCCACAAATTGCCACTCCACCGTCAATGGGACCAAGCAGTAACGGGTTGCCACGCGGTTCCGGCACGATATTTCAATGTAAAGTTCCCCTACATAGACATTCAGGGGGTGGCAGAATCACCTCATGAATGCCCACAAATTGCCACTCCACCGTCAATGGGACCAAGCAGTAACGGGTTGCCACGCGGTTCCGGCACGATATTTCAATGTAAAGTTCCCCTACATAGGCATTCAGGGGGTGGCAGAATCACCTCATGAATGTCCACAAATTGCCGCTCCACCGTCAATGGGACCAAGCAGTAACGGGTTGGCACGACACGGTATTTCAATGTAAAGTTCCCCTACATAGTCATTCAGGGGCTGGCAAAATCACCTCATGAATGGCCACAAATTGCCACTCCACCGTCAATGGGACCAAGCAGTAACGGCTTGGCACGCGGTTCCGGCACGGGATTTCAATGTAAACTTCCTCTACATAAGCATTCAGGGGGTGGCAGAATCACCTCATGAATGGCCACAAATTGCCACTCCACCGTCCCTGAACAGCCCCCGCGGATTGCTTTTCGCAGAGGAGGTAATCCCTGCTGCCCAGGTGAACGAGGCCTAAAAGTGCCCCTTCCCATTCCTCCTGTCTGGAAAAGTTCCATTTGAAGAACGTCTCAGAGCACTTTACCTACGTACCGGGACTTACAGTTACAGGGTCAGTTTGGAGGTCCCGGGTGCGTATGTAAACAGTAGGATATGCGTATATACTCAGCATGCCGGGCACGTGTTGGCACGCGGTTCCGGCACGGTATTTCATTGTATAGTTCCCCTACATAGACATTCAGGGGCTGGCAGAATCACCTCATGAATGCCCACAAATTGCCACTCCACCGTCAATGGGACCAAGCAGTAACGGGTTGGCACAACTCGGTATTTCAATGTAAAGTTCCCCTACATAGACATTCAGGGGCTATGGGACAATGGGGCCAAGCAGTAACGGCTTGGCACGCGGTTCCGGCACGGTATTTCAATGTAAACTTCCTCTACATAAGCATTCAGGGGGTGGCAGAATCACCTCATGAATGGCCACAAATTGCCACTCCACCGTCCCTGAACAGCCCCCGCGGATTGCTTTTCGCAGAGGAGGTAATCCCTGCTGCCCAGGTGAACGAGGCCTAAAAGTGCCCCTTCCCATTCCTCCTGTCTGGAAAAGTTCCATTTGAAGAACGTCTCAGAGCACTTTCAGGGTCAGTTTGGAGGTCCCGGGTGCGTATGTAAACAGTAGGATATGCGTATATACTCAGCATGCCAGGCAGAGGTATATGCGCGTTATGTAAAGCTGTGTGGCCATTTTTATGGCAAAAAAGCAGAAAAATGCCTCTAAAAGCGCTATTGCTTTTCCTGCGCGTATACATGAGGCCTCACTGTACTAAAACTGCTTAACAGGTTTTTGCTGGTGGATCGAGACCGGAGCCGCGGCTGTCCAGGTACATATGCCAATTCCATTGTTTACATGCCAGCCAGGACTTACGTATTGCCCTGGACTCAGACCCAGGTACGTATGTAAACAATGGGATTTGGGTATATACCCGGCACACCCGTGACGCCCGATTTATATGCCCGATATGTATGCCGTACGCCCATTCCCGGGCGAGGGAAAGAAACTTAAAAAAACAGAAAATTGCCCGTAAAAGCGTTTTTTAAAAAAAATTCTGCTCGTGTGCGTGAGGCCTAGCTGTAACTAGGCCTTCAACTTTCACATCGATTGTTGCCTATGGAAACAGACTTTTTTTTGGGGACACCCTGTATACCTATGAGGGGAGCTCAGGTGACAGCACCATGGCAGAGGGATGCAGGGCAAGAAGGGGCCCCTCAGGTAGGTCAGGGCCCGGTACATGACGCACATAGCCCTGCGGCCAGGGCTAGGACCATTCAGTGCCCAGAGGTCTGCCATTGAGGGACACCTGGCACTGTGAGAGGTGCTGTGACAGGAAAGGCTTATTATGGGATGTCAGGAGGAAGGAGGGGGGCATATTATGGGATGTCAGGCTCCCTAGAACTTATTATGGGATGCCTGGTGACTATTATGGGATGTCAATCTCCCTCAGGTTATTATGGGATGCCTGGCTGGGTGACTATTATGGGATGTCAGGCTCCCTCTGCTTATTATGGGATGCCTGTGGTTATTATGGGATGCTTCACGTTACTAAGGGCTGTGTGTGGGGGAGAGGAGACTATTATGGGATGCCAGACTCCACGGACTTATTATGGGATGTCTGAGGGGGAGGAGGGAGGAAAGGGGGGGTTGTTATTATGGGATGGCATGCTCCCTTGGCTTATTATGGGATGTCCGGCCGCCCATCTCTAGGGCAACGCGCTGGTTGCCAGGGTGACAGGGCGGAAGGAGGGAAGGGGCGGGGTCTCCGCCATCACTGCCGGTGTACAGGAGAGAAGGAGCGGGAGTGGAGACCGTGCGCGGCGCAGCTGGAGCCTGGACACCGCGGCTTGAGGTGAGGAGTGGCGGGGCCTGGAGGGTCACGGTGGGAGGCCCGGGGG